TGGATGATAGCATGTTTTACTCATAATATCGTTATCATAAACTTGAACGAGGTACATTTGGGTTCTATCTCTCTTCAAAAGATAATATTTCATTAAGAAACTATGGAAAGGATATAGGACCCTTTTGTTTTAACTTTTTTAAAAAATAATTTTTATAGTGTAACATGATTTTGTGAAAAAAAATTTATAAAGAAATTTTTCATAAAAGATTCAAATGAAAATTTAGTTTGAATAGTTATTCTTAAAATGTTATTTTAGATATATCAACAGTTTATTAAAAAAAATTGAATATCAAAATTTTAAAAAATTACTTAAATTTGAAGCTATTTTAAATAGTTTTTCATAAAAATCATTTTTGAGATACAATTTTTTGTGATTTCGATTATGTTTTGATCTTCAATAATATATGTTTATGTTGTATGATGTCAAAATTAGTCTTAAAATTTAGAAAAAATAAATATGAAAAAACTTGTATTATTTTCAAAAACAGTTTTATAAAATCCATTTTAAATAAATTAAATTAAAAAAATAAAAAAATAATAATAAAAAAGTGATCCACTTTTCGCTCTTATAACCCATAATTCAATATCCCCACAACAAGTTTCCAAACTTGTTTATCTCAAGTCTTTGGATAAGTAATTGCTTCCACCAAGCAACTTATAAAAAAGGAATGGTGACATTGCAATGAGTGCATTAATAATAAAAAAGTTTGATATAATTCCATAAGTGGATCAAAAGATATTGTTATTATATTCTAAACTATGGGAAATACATTGTGAGGTTTTTTAAAGTGTGGTTGTCGCCGGTGAGAGATTTGAAGATATACTCCAATAATTCTTCCGGTAAACATGAACATATTTCTTCTGCCGCCGCCATTGTTTTTGGTACATTGGATTTTGATGCCGATGACGCCGCCGCCGCCATTGTTTTTGGTACTTTGGATTTTGATGCTGGTGACGCCGCCACCATTGTTTTGGGTAGATTGGATTTGGATGCTGGTGAGGCCGCCGCGGTTGTTTTTGGTACATTAGATATGGATGTTGGTGACGCCGCCGCCATTGTTTTTGCTACATTGGATTTGGATGTCGGTGATGCCAACGCCATTGTTACAGAGTAACGAGTCTGATTATATATGTTACGCTTATAGTACTCCCTCATCCTGAGCTGCATATTATATGGATTTCTTTATTTCAAAAGTAAAACGCTGCTTAGGCCCAACAAAAAAAATTGTATCCTTATTTTATGGATTTGTGTCCTCTCCTTTTTTATATATCATGTCATTTGTCACGTTTTTAATCTATTAGTTCAAAATTTATAATAGATAATTAAATAAAAAAAATTATTTAATAGGAGAGAGAAAAGGATAAGTAATTTGTCTTTGTTATTTTTGAAACATGAGAGATGACAGAATATATAAAAAAAAGGAGAGGATCCAAATTCTTATTTATGGTTTTCTTTATTTTATTCTTTTCAAAATTATTTGTTTTTTTTTCAATTTAAATGTATTTGTGATTGATGCTTAGAATTGGAATCATATTGATGTTTTAATTTTCGTAAACAAATGTATATGAACTTAAATAGTTTAGGGACTTTTTTTTATTTATTTTCGCCAATAAATCCTCAAAAAGTAAATAAATTAAGTTATAAATATTACAAAGTAAATAAATTAAGTTATAATTATTTGTGTACATTTCAATATCCAAATTGTTATTTTTAATGTTTGAAAAATCATACACCCTTCATTCTCTTTTATAAATAAATTTTAGTTTTTTAGATTTATTAAATAATTGATATATCTAATCTATATATTGTTTAAATATATCATTTATTAAATGAATTTAAAAAGTCAAAATTTATTTATAAAAAAGAATGGAGGAAGTAATTATTTGTGTTTCATAATAGAACCGAGAACACAAGATGAAATAGAGAAATAAGATTTACGAAGTGTGGTGGTGCGTGCTTCATGTACGCTTTGACTACTAAAAATAATTTTTTAAATAAAGAGAAATTTAAATAATTATTCAAAGAAAATCTAAAAATAATACTTAATAATTTTGTAACTCAAAGGAGAAGAAATTAAAATAATTTTACAAAGAAAATTTTAAAAAATACTTGAAAAATTCAACGAGTAGAAAGAAATAGAGAGGAGTTAGCGCTTCGACGATTCAAAAAATACAGTGTTATAAGGCTGAGGAAAATAAAACTCAATATACTACTCTGTCTCATATTATAAGCAAATTTTGTTTTTTAGATTCATTTAATAATTAATGTATATGGTCTATATATAAACCAGATACATTAATTTTACAATAAATCTAAAAAGTAAAATTTGCTTATAATATGGGACGGGGAGGTATAAGTGTTTTCTGTATTTTAGAATGAAACATGAGATTTCGAAGTAAGCTAGCGGAGGAAAGTAATCTAAACAACGTGGGACTTTGAGTTTTTTCAATTAACATGAAGGCTGCAATAAGAATCCTGAGATACCTAAAAGGCTCATTAAATAGTGGAATCTTGCTTCCAAGAGATTCTGAAAGCACAGAAGTTGTGATTAATTGTTATTCAAATCACTACTACAAAAAAGCTATTTAATAGCGTTTTTTTTTTTTGCTTTTTAATAGCGCTATTAACCAAGCTGCTATTGTAAAAAAAATTGATAGCGCTATTATAGTACTAGTAATTAATAGCGCTTTTCCAAAAGCACTATTATAGTACTGGTATTTAATAGCATTTTTCCAAAAGCGCTATTATAAGACACATATTAGATAGCACTTTCAAACAAAGCGCTATTATAGTACTGGTAATTTGCTTCGATTTTGATAGCACTTTCAAATAAAGCGCTATTATAAGACACATATTAGATAGCACTTTTCCATAAAAGTGCTATTATAGTACGTATCTTTAATAGCACTCCCTCTTCAAAACGCTATTGTAGTACACTTTTTTTTTACACAAAATCATTCTTTTGGTGTGTATAATATATATATATATATATATATATATATATATATATATATATATATATATATATATATATATATATATATATATATATATATATATATATATATATATATATATATATATATATATATATATATATATATATATATATATATATATATATATATATATATATATATATATATATATATATATATATATATATATATATATATATATATGGCATTTGCATTTTACGACATTAGAATTCATAAAATAATAATGACTAAGCAGCTAAAATATTTGAAAATGAAATAGAACCACTTATTCAAGAACAAATGTGATACCATGTATATCTACCACTGCCATAATAAACACAGAAGGAAATGTATCTATGTATATAGATCAATCTACACTACATAATAGTGGTAAATGATAACAAACAAATTAACAAATCATATTCAACATTGATCTCAATGAAATAAAGCTAAAACTTTTGCCACTAGTTATCAATTTGGCTAAGAGTACTTCAAACCAAATTCTAAACAAAAAGTAATTCTCTGCAGAGACCCTGGAGCCCCACTCAAGCAATTATTTGCTAGTGTCATCCTTGTGAACAATAACTTCAATGAAACATAAGTTGTCTTTCTTTTGGACGTGCAATAATAACATCCCAATCTTCTTCATATAGGGATGGAAATAAATGTTCAATGCATCCATTATCAACCTAAAAAATAAGCAATGTCATATTACAGTTGTTGAATGATAGACCAGACAAAAAGATGCAAACCACCACTACTCAATTAACATGTATTGCAAGGATTAAAAAGTCAGTCCAAAGTCAAACTTAACACAATATAAGGCCTACCGTATGGAGATCTTTGACATTAAAAGAATGGGTATGGATAGGATCTTTCAAAATGATGATGAAATAACTGTGTCCATGTATCATCCCCCATCATAACAACTTTCTTCCCATTTCGAAACAACTGTAGGTAGACAGATATGTATTTAGAATTAGAACTGGGTCTAACTGCCTTGTCGGCAATTCGTATTAACTTGAGTAATATAAAAACAAGGAGCAATTTCAAATTTAAAACTAAACCAATATTTAAAAGCACAAATATTAGAGGCAAGGAAAAATCGAAAAGAAAAACTACCTGATTAATGAAATTATCTTCAACAATAGCAGGTGCACCAAAGATATTACCAACATCTACAAAAGTTGGAAGTCCACCAGTTGTCAAGCCCTATAGAAAAACCGGATGAAAGCTATTAGCTCAAACAAAGAAACATTTAATCTCCTATGATATCCATAGGAAACACAGACCCATAATAATCTTTTAGTGGAGAGCATTACAAATTTAAAAGCTATTTTCATAATTGCATATATATAATCAACTTAATTTACAGCTTATTATCATATGTAACCGCATATTATAAGCTATTTCCATAATTGTTTTTGCAAAAGCTATAAACTGCTTTCAAAAACTATCCTGAAGAGTTTATAGAAACAAGCTGAAAATAACTTATGAACATGTCATAGCATGGTTTCATAATGTTCTTATTGCACATCCTTCATCAACACACATCCAAATGCAGGTCCATTACCAATTACAACCTGGTTAGGATGAACGATAATCGCCTTCTCTTTCTTGAGAAGAAGTGAATACCCAACAGATCTGTAGTCATTGAAAATGGGACCGACAAACAAGTACGCATCAGCGAATTCCACAATCTCGGAATAAAATGCAGTACTCGCAGCACCCCAATAAGTACCGATGAAATGAGGATGATGCTCTGGAACCATTCCTTTTTCCGATGGCACCACGGCTAGCGCGTAACCACTCGCATCTGCTAGTTCGACAAAGGCATCAGATGCTTTTGCTACTCTCATTTTCTTATTTAGGTCATAACTTGCATGTGCATATTGAGAGATAAAGAGAAAGAGATCATACTCCATGTTTGGCTGATGAGAACACTGAATGCAGCACGGAGACGATATCGGTTTTTGTTGTGAACATTTTGCTTTTAAAGCCAAGGAAACCCTTTAGCTGTTAAAGGCCAATTGTGATGGCAGCACCTCCCATAAAACCAACAATAGCAGCATGGGATAGGAAATCAATCAAAAATCCTAACCTGTTTTTTCGGCATAAAAAAAGAAGAGAACCAACCTAACTATAAGATGATCATGATATGATATGTTAAATAGGGTAACGTTTGTAATACATGTATATCTAGTGTCTGTGTCGGTCTCTGTATCAGTGCTTTGTAGGATATACCTGAAAATCCCAAGAGTTGCTTGTGTAATCCCAGCGAAAAATGTGGCTGTAAAAGTAAGTCTTTGATATTCTTCTTTATGAGCAACCGGATCAATCTCGTTACTAAGCAAAGTCCCCATCAAGAGAGAAACCATTGCCACCGGTCCTATTGCTATATCGCGAGAACTGCCCATGAATGCATAAATCAGCGGTGGAATAAAGCTTGAGTCTGTAACAAAATTTTGGTTCAACATATAAAATTCCAAAAACAAAACTTCGGATTTGAGACAAGAGTCTTACACAGTCCATACTGCGGAGCCAAATGCGCAAGCTTCGAGTATCCAATATTCTATTTTTCAAACCAAGTATTAGAACATAAACTATGAAACAACTAACATGAAATATAGTGTATTAGCATCATAAAGAAAATTCACCTAACTCAGCATATTCGATGCCCACAAATATTTCAACAATAACAGCAATAATAATAGCAGAGTTTCACCTGTGATGGTTAATGTAAACATTGAAACATTAACAGAGAACATTGTTATACCAGATAACACAAGATACTCCTTTGCTTCTTTCACGGTAGATAGTTATTCAAACATCAGAAACTATAGAGCTCGATCCTTCCATACTGCAACACCTACAGCTTCATCAGAAGCTAGTTAGAATAATCAACAAGGTTTGTTATCTCACCCAGCAGGTGCTATCTCAGTTAACAGAGTAACGAGTCTGATTGTATATGTTACGCTTATAGTACTCCCTCATCCTATGTTGCATATTATATGGATTTTTTTATTTCAAAAGTAAAACACTGCTTAGGCCAAAAAAAAATTGTATCCTTATTTTATGGTTTTCTTTATTTTATTCTTTTTAAAATTATTTGTTTCTTTTTTCAATTTAAATGTATTTGTGATTGATGCTTAGAATTGAAATCATATTGGTGTTTTAATTTTCGTAAACAAATGTACATGAATTTAAATAGTTTAGAGATTTTTTTATTTATTTTCGCCAATAAATCCTCAAAAAGTAAATAAATTAAGTTATAAATATTCCAAAGTAAATAAATTAAGTTATAATTATTTGTGTACATTTCAATATTCAAATTGTTATTTTTAATGTTTGAAAAATCATACACCCTCCATTCTCTTTTATAAATAAATTTTAACTTTTTAGATTTATTAAATAATTGATATATCTAATTTATATATTATTTAAATATATTATTTATTAAATAAATCTAAAAAGTCAAAATTTACTTTAAAAAAAGAATGGAGGAAGTAATTATTTGTGTTTCATACTAGAATCGAGAAAACAAGATGAAATAGAGAAATAAGGTTTACAAAGTGTGGTGGTGCGTGCTTCATGTACGCTTTGACTACTAAAAATAATTTTTCAAATAAAGAAAATTTAAATAATTATCTAAAGAAAGTCTAAAAATAATAAATCATAATTTTGTAACTCAAACGAGGAGAAATTAAAATAATTTTACAAAGAAAATTAAAAAAAAAATATTTGAAAAATTCAACGATTAGAAAGAAATTGAGAGGAGTTAGCGCTTCGACGATTCAAAAAATACAAAGTTATGAGACTGAGGAAAGTAAAACTCAATATACTACTGCATCTCATATTATAAGCAAATTTTGTTTTTTAGATTCATTGAATAATTAATGTGTATGATCTATATATAAACCAGATATAATAATTTTACAATAAATCTAAAAAGTAAAATTTGCTTATAATATGGGACGGAAGGTGTAAGTGTTTTCTGTATTTTAGAATGAAACATGAGATTTCAAAGTAAGCTAGCTAAGGAAAGTAATCTAAACAACGTGGAACTTTGAGTTTTTTCAATTAACATGAAGATTGCAACAAGAATCCTGAGATACCTAAAAGACTCATTAAATAGTGGAATCTTGTTTCCAGGAGATTCTGAAAGCAAAGAAGTTGTGATTAATTGATATTCAAATGTTAATTGATATAGAGATAAAGAAGATCCAAAAAGCACAGCAGGTTATTTCTTTCAAGTATTTTGTGTCTCATTTTCATAGTGTTCAAGAAAGCAATATGTGGTGGCACTGTTATCGTGTGAGGCTGAGTATATAATAGGATCATATGTTGATTGTCAAGCAATATGGATCGGATCTATATTGAATGAGTTGGATGTCAAAGTAAAGAAATATCTGGTGCTGCAAATTGACAACAAATCAACCATCAATCTTGCAAAGAATTCAATTTTGCATGGAACATTAAAGTTAGATTTGACTTTCTAGAGAAAAAGGTAAATCAAGGTAAACTTAAAATAAGGCATTGCTCGAGAGATCGCACATCTCATTCTAATATTCTCATTGGCATTTTTCCTTTATAAAGTCACTAACTATAAGAAAAAAGAATACCCAAGTGAAGTGTAATATCAACAAACTTATAAGCTCGTTTCCATTCATATTGGAGCCCTATGATTTTGATCATTAACAAAATTAAATTAATCCAACTGTTGCTGATACAGGTTGATATATATCTTTCATTTTTCCCTAAGTTAAATTATTGGCTTAGAAGTTCTAATTTTGAGAATACAGTTAGAAATAAATATACAAGCTTTGTCAGTTATTGTAATGTCACTTAATTGAGTAAATTAGTCTTCACAATTGTACATGGAAAAAACTCTTACAAAAAATATGCTTTTTTCATTAAATAAAAAAAGTGTATTATTTTATATATTGTTTTAGGATAAAACAAATTACTAATCACACAAAGAAAAAAGTATTAATTTGAGTTTTTATTATATCTAAGCCATTTATTAATTTTAATTTTCAACTCTAGTTATTGAATAAAAAAATATAAAGTAAATCATAATTTTCTATTTCTGATGAAAAAAAATTAAGTATTTTTTTAACATGTGTATCCAATAAAAATATAAAACTGATATATATTTTAAAACTGATGGAGTAATAAATAAAAATATACAATTATCCAATAGCTATACACTGAAATGTCTAACAATTTGCTTTGGAATTTCCATACATTCAACATGTTTAAAAAATTGTTACATGGTTCAAAGAATCAATAATTCAATTCTCTTGTATCTTTATTATTTTGATTTATTACAATGCTAGGAGAAGAAGAATTGCCATACAACTTGAAGAAACCATCACATATGAAGACCCAATACCCTGCAATTTATAATTATTAAAAATGATTAGGATAGTAAATCAATTTTGCACAGACTAAAATCGGGTTGTCCATCCCGTTTAGATCTGTCCCGTAAAAACCGATAAAAAATGGGGACAGTGCGGGCAGATATTATAAAAGGTAGAAATCTAAAATTTTGGCCCAGCAAAAAAATGGGAGCATAACAAGTCCAACATGACTTACATCCCGAAAACTTAAAAGTTACAAAATTCATGTTTATGTTTATATCGGAAAAAAAAAGGATGGGACAGACATAATAGAGAATACATATATAAAATCTTTATCTATCCTATAAAAAAATTAAAGCAGGATAGTACAGGCTCGACAGCGGATCTAGCACCCTCAAAACCTAAAAGTTGCAAAATTTATGTTGATGTTCACACCCGCAAAAGCTCTTGAAAAATAGGGTGGAACATACATAATAGAGGGTGCGGATCTTAAATCTTGACTTGTTCCACAAAAATGTGCGCACAAAACAGACATGACTGAGTTAACGAACCGGATCCGTTTTGTGATTCTTAAAACCGAAAGATAAAAAAAAAAAATTAAAAAAAAAAAAAAAAAACCATTGTGATTACATATACCTTGAAGGATAAGAAAGATGATGTTGCTGATGAAGGAACAAGTCCAGTGAATCCAATATCATAAGCAATACTTCCATCATGTTTAAACAATCCAAAATTTCTTTCTGATGTTGGTCCAGGTTTCAAATTCTCATTAAACAAAGCAAATATATAAGCCCTAACCAACATTTTAGGCCTATGAGGTGTTCCTTTTCTCTTAAGTAACTTCTTTCTCAAATTTTTATTATAAGTCCTTGCATTTTTCACATTTGCTCCACCTTCATTATCATCACCCTTTGAAGCCCAACCAGTTTCACTAACAATAACTTCCATTTTATCAAACCCAAATTTCTCCAATGCAAAATAAGAAGCATCAATTTGTGCATCAAGCATGTTATCATAATGTAGCTTACTCTTAGCATCATAAATTCCATGATTCTTCTTCATCAAAGCATAGTTTATATCAATATGTGAAGGGTCATTTTTATATGCCAAAAAAGGGTATGCATTTATGTAAAAAGGTGTTCCAATTTGTGAAAAAAATTGTAAAAGTGGTTTCATGTAAGGTATTATATCATCTCTAAATGTGCATGAAGATGGAGGATATGAATTTGCAAATACAGCTTCGGAATGCGGACTCGAAACTTCGATTTCGTGTGCTAAACCGAGTCGATCAAGTGCACTGTAAATGTTTTTTGCTGCTGGAAGTAAAGCTTCCCAAAGTTCAACACTTCCTCCTCCTAGAATTTCATTTCCTATAGCAATGCCACAGATTTTTGTGCCTGGAAGATAGGGTTGGACATTGTCTTTGATCCAGTTCATGGCGCGGTCTTCGCCGACGCCGATGTCGGTTAAGAGTTCGTTAGGAAGACAAACACTTAGTCCTATTCCTGATCCTTTGAAAGCAGTTAGGACTTGAGGATTAACATCATAGATTCTTACATTTCTTATTTTTGCAGCTTTGAGAAGTGTAACCACACTTTCTGGGGGAGGTAGATTATCAGCTACTCTACCATAGTTTACTCCATATGTTCCTATAAATGCTTTGTTCCCTAAAACTGTTCACATAATAATTTGAAAATTAGCTTAAAAATTTCATGTCATGCAATACAACGAGTTAAATAAAATGTCATTAAAGAATTATTTGACCGAATCACCACTTTAGAATGAAAATTGCCGCCTTCTTGATATAACATGAATATGTGATATATTTTATCTAATCTTGATTTAACGATTACTGATATAATAATTGTGTGAATACGTAATATATATATATATATATATATACATATACTATTTGATTTCACTATAATAATTGTGCGAATACGTAATATATATATATATACTATTTGATTTCACCTGTCAATGACATACGAGTATGACTTGTGTGAATACATAATAGATACTATCTAATCTCAGACTATCGTTCACTGACATACGACTTACGTGAATACGTAATATATACTATCTCATCTCAACATTGACATACAAATTATGTGAATACGTAAAATCGTAACGGCTGACTACAAATCTCATGTTTACCATAGTATTATTATTATTATTAGAAATGTCCATTAGCTGAAAATAATTAACCTTGTACTACGAAACATAAAAGGTAATTTTATGAATATAAGTCAAATACTCACCTAGAGAAAATGTTGATGATAAAATGAGAAGCCCGAGAAAGAATGAAAATGAGGAAGAGAAAACCATTTGTTGTTGAACTCTAAGCATAATAAGAATGAAAAATATATTCCACTTGGTAGAAAGTATGAGGGTGCTCCCTCGTATTATGTAATTCAATAAAGGTCAAGAAAACGTAAGAAAACTTTTTCTCTTGTCATAATCTAACTAAAGATTCTTAACTTTTCTTCAAGACATGATAGATTGTTATAACATGATTTGAATATGATTCTTAGCCTTAGACTAAAGATGGTTGCAATTTAACAAAAGGGTGTTTTCATCAGGTGAGAATAGATTCTTCCTTTCATAGACCTTTAACTCATTCTTAAAGTATACCTTTTTACACTTTTCACTCTTGTTGAAATTTAACCTTTTCATCAAGCTAACACATGAAGGATGTGTAAAAGAGTCATCAATACCTTTCGTAGCTTCATGGATTAAGGGTGTTTTTTTACCTTATATCAATGGACATGCAGAACAATTGAATGTTTGGATTGAGCCAACTACACAATGCAAGAAGAAACACATACATGGAAAATAAACTAAATGAGAATTAGTTCTCTTATCATTTGTAATCATAAAATTATTGCTGTTTTATGATGTTTTCATTTATCTGCAATCCAACAATGAGTATCTTAAAATGTGAATTCAAATTCAAAGATGGGCCGTAAAATCGATGCAAAATTAAGTCAATTCCGAATTTTGTTCACATAAAAATGTGACAAAAGTCTACAATCCAGATTCATATATGAAATATGGAAAACTAAAAGATCTAATCTTAAGAGCCATACAAGTTTAATCTCCTAATTTAACAAATGTCAGAAACAGAATGCAAGATTACAGTCATCCATAATGTTACAAAATAACTAAATCATTTGAAGTTGTGTAGACCCCTGACACATACACGAGACACGACACTAACACCACCGGTAATAATACTATAAATAAAATCATTGAATGTGATAGATGTGTCGGTGTCGTGTCAATGTGCCGCGCACTCGTCGGTGTCAATCTAAAATGTCAGTAACATCTTAAATAGCATTAAAAAAATTAAGGATACTAGGTATTAAATAAAGTGCCATATCAGTAGCTTACACTAAGGGTTGGTGAATAGTAGTGGTAATATATTACTTCATTGAGCACAGCTCCAAATAACACTTTCATTGTCAACCATCTTCACTTGCTCCTCACCTTGAATTGTTTGTTTTTCATCACTTGCTGGAATTTCATTCTTGCCATTAACTTCTTCAAAGTTGACACTCACTTTTTCAGCTCCTTCGTTTTCCTCAGCACCTGATTGTTCCTGCTTACTAATGTCAACTGTACCATTTTCTTTTTCCAATTCAACTGGGGCCTCCTCTAGTGGTTTTTCAGCAACCACGGCATTCAAAGCTTCTTCAACAAGTTGTTCCTCTGGTCCTGCAATTGGTGTTTCTTCCACTTGAGGATTCTCAACAATCAAATTTTCAGCTTCCACATTACTTTGCTTGATTTCCTCAGCATCATCACTCTTTGTGTTATCAATGATTATGTTATCAGCATCAAATGGATCGGCATTCAGTTCTTCTGCAGAAAACAGTTCCTTTTCACATTCAACTATTGCCTCCTCGAACACGGCATTCGAAGCTTGAACAAGTTCACCTTCTGTATTACTTTGCTTAATTTCCTCTGCATCGTTACTCTTTGTTTTATCCTCAATGTTGCTAACAGCATCAATTGGATCGGCTTTTGGTTCTGCAGAAGACACTTCCTTTTCCGATTCAACTATTGCCTCCTCGACCACAGCATTCAAAGCTTCTTGAACAAATTCTCCTTCTGTATTACTAGGCTTAATTTCATCTGCTGCATCATTACTATTTGTTTTATCATCAATGTTTCTATCTGCATCCATTGGATCAGCAGCCGGTTCTTCTGCAGAAGGATTTTCCTTTTTCGATTCAACTATTGTCTCCTCGGACACAACATTTGAAGCTTCTTGAACAAGTTCACCTTCTGCTTTACTTTGCTTAATTTCCTCCGCACCATCACTCCTTGTTTTATCATTGACATTGTCATCAGTGTCCATTGGATCGGCTTTCAATTCTACCACAAAAGACGTTTCCTTTGTTGATTCAGCTATTGCTTCTTCAACCACAGCATTCGAAGCTTCAATAACATGTTCACCTTCTGCATTACTTTGCTTAATTTCCTCCGCATCATCACTCCTTGTTTTATCATTGACATTGTCATCAGTGTCCATTGGATTGGCTTTCAATTCTTCCACAAAAGACTTTTCCTTTGCTGATTCAGCTATTGCTTCTTCAACCACAGCATTCGAAGCTTCAATGACATGTTCACCTTCTGCATTACTTTGCTTAATTTCCTCTGCATCATCACCCCTTGTTTTATCATTGACATTGTCATCAGTGTCCATTGGATCAGCTTTAGGTTCTTCCGCAGAAGACTTTTCCTTTGCCGATTCAACTATCTCCTCCTCGACCACAGCCTTCAAAGGCTCTTGAACAAGTTCACCTTCTGCATTACTTTGCTTAATTACCTCTGCATCATCACTCTTTATTTTATCATCGATGTTGTCATCAGCATCAACTGGACCGGCTTTCGGTTCTTCTGCAGAAGACTTTTCTTTTTCCTTGGCTTCCTCTGAAGGAGATTCAGCTTCAGTCTCCTTATCATGTTTCTTTGAAGCAGATGATTTTCGACCACGTTTCTTCGGAGGCTCAGCTTTCTCTGACTGAGCTTCAGTTTCGGTTACCTTGTCATCCTTCTTTGAACCAATTGATTTACGACCACGTTTCTTCGGAGGCTCGGCTTCCTCGGAATGAGCTTCAGTTTCAGTTACCTTGTCATCTTTCTTTGAACCAATTGATTTCCGACCGCGTTTCTTTGGAGGCTCGGCTTCTGCAGGTGAAGTTGTTTTGACCTTCTCACTAATCCTTGATGATCGCCTTGGTGTGTCACTGGTTCCCCAATCAAACTCTGATATGTTAGGATTCTCAGGATGTGATTTTAGATACCGCTCCAATTGTCTTCTGGAGGTTATCTCTTCTCCAGTTGGAGCAACAAATACAATCTCGCCTTTCCTTGGTGTTCCTGCTTTCTTAGGGAAGTACTGCAGAGTGAAAGCTAAAAATGTGTTATAACTTATAAGACAATTTCCCCGCAGCACACAAATAAAAATATTCAAGTAAAACTTGTTAGCAATAGTATTTAAGAACCAATATGAAGCACTAACATAGATAGACTCATCACGAAACTGCCATTGAGAAGAATTTGAGAAAATAAAATTACTGAAGATAACCACATGCAATGGTCTGGTGTCCAGTATGGGGTCGGAAACTGGACACGTCTTCAATATGAAATGTCGGAGCTATATATTTACATCAGTAAAACGAAATAGTAAGGAACTTATCATCGATAAATCACTAAGCAGTGAGCACTATAGTTCAAAAAAATGTTCTAGCTTAGAATAATTCAGGACAATGTAATTCACCAGTGGAATATTAACACCAAAAAATATGACTTTCTGAAGCACTTATCATAAATTGACCTCACAGTAAATCAAATTGATCTATGGCGTACATCATCTCAGTTTCATTAGCTATGGAAGTTACAAATCAGAAAGATAAATCAAAATCCAGAACAGGAAAGTTCGACAAAATGTAACAGAATCTTGAACCGTACAGAGTACAGAAAAAAGAAGTCAAAACACTTGATATTAAAACCTAAGACACTGTCCACAAAAGGCAACATAATAAAATTAAAAATAAATAAAAAATTAAAAAGAAGACCTAGAGGCAAAAATAAGAAACCAGTAGCAGGGCAGGAAAAATCAACAAAGTTAAGCAAAATTTTACATAATAAGCATAATATGGAAAGATGCATAAATGGAATAGAATCTTGATCCAAAATTTTCTCAACCACACAGGGCACAGAAAAAAAGTGTAACTGAAAACACTTGCTATGAAAACCTAAGACACTGTACAAAATACAACATCAAAAACTCTAAAAAAAAGACCTAGTAGATAAAATCAGAATCCAGGAGGGATGAAATAAAATTGCAGAGCAGGTAAAATCGAAAGTTTCCAAAAGTTGAACCAAATACATAAACCTTTTTCACCAATTTGTACAACATAATAAGCATAGTATAGAAAGATGCATAAATAGAACAGAATCTTGAACCAAAAGTTTCAGAACTATACAGGACATAGAAAAAAGAAGTCAAAACACTTGCTATTAAAACCTAAGACGATGTCCACGAAAGACAACATCAAAAAACCCAAAAGAAAGACCTAGCAGCAATAGAACACAAATAGAAACTTATGACGGTTAATACCTATGAAATTCCCACACAAACACCAACACTGACAAATAATCATCGGTGGTTCTTAGTTTCCCAACACAACAAAAAGAAATTACAACATTACAACCCATAAAAAAACAACTTAAGTTAACAAATTTAGCTGAAAACCTAGCTAACTGCTAAGTTGTATTAGCACATGGACCACAAATTTGTTTTTTGCAACAACAGAAACAAGGATCACTACATTAAGCTAAGGTAAACCCTTTCATGAACCCAAAAAAAAAAAACCTAGCACCAAATTGTACAAAGCAAGTCCTTTCACGAAACCCTAGCACCAAATTGAACAAAGTAAGCACTTTCACGAAACCATAAAACAAACCCTAGCCCCAAATCGTACAAATTAAGCCCTTTTAAGAAAACCCTAAAAACAAAATCTATAACTAAAATCCACCTAAGATTCAACAGAATCGTGTGATAATAACAGAATTTCCACCAAATTAAAGTGAGAAATCAAACCACAGTAGCAAATATGAACTTCAAAAAAATCTTAAATAAAAAATACAATACAAAAGATCATGAGAGAGAGAGAGAGAGAGAAAGGGACCAGTTTCTTCCATGAAGGAGGAGCTGAAAGCTGAACAGGCGAGAGTTGATCTTTGGCAACACTTCGCGATTCGTTCTTCATTTGGTGCTGTTGTTGAAGTTGAACTACCGCAACAAGGACGCTTTTTCTGAGTATGTGAGAAAATAGAAACCGCAAACAGTGCGTAATGTACTGTGTAGCTAGCTACAAATTAGGATATGGTTTACTTCTTTTTCTCTCTCCTACAAAATGTTATCAATTTTGATTTGGAGTCCGGGGTTTCATAATCTCACCTGCTTTTTCTTATGCATATTTATAACCGTCCAATTAAATCTTACCTGCTTTTCTCTCTCTATCAATTTGTCTTTTACTACTATTAAACAAAGAGTTTTGTTATTTTGCTACTTGAAGAAACAAAATGCACCTAACTAAAATTTAATACTTTGTTTCTCATATGAGATTATAGAAAATATTACTTAAACAATTAAAACCGTGTACAAAATATGTAAACAATATTTTTTTAATGGCAAAATAATATATAAAAAAAGTTATAAATCATCAACCATTTAGCATAAGAAATGTCGAGAAAAAGAAAATAGATACAAGACAATAAGTAAGTAAGCACAAAAATAATAACATCAAACAAAAGCAACACAAACAATAGATTAGAAATTTGAACCAATGAGATTTATCATCAGCAGAATAAATCTCAATAAAAAGTAAAATTTTGTTCTTAAATGGACATATGTTGGATGAGAAGCTTAAGTAAGTAAAATTTTGTTCTTAAATGGACATATGTTGGATGAGAAGCTTAAGTAAATGTATTCGACATCTTGAACAAGACTTGACAAATAATTGTTAACACACTTCAGTGCAACCTCGCATACGTCTAGGAGACTTACAATCCAAGAAAGAAAATCCACTATTTTGAATTAGTATAATTAGTCTTATAAGAATAGTAATGTCGTGTTGCTAAATTACTCTTCTTAATCCCAGTGACTTTCTATTTATGACTCTCACTAAATATAAGAACCTATCTCACTTTCTCTCAATCACTAATCCCAAGTAATCACTACAATAATCAAAATGATGATTGTTGAATTATAATTCAACTACACAAATTAAACTTTATGTTTTAAGATATGAATGAAAGCGATAGAGCGGTGCACAAACAATAACACAAACAAAGACTAAAAAGATAAATCCTAACACAAAGAATCTTCAATACTTGCACACTTCAAATGTTAGGTTTGAGTATCATTAAATAGCAATGCAAATTTTGGATTCTTCTAATGGTCATTTGATCACGTCCGGAATTATAAAATATTTTGTTAAGATTTATTTTTCAAATATCCTCCAAAAAGATTTGATTTGATTCAAATTTAAATCACCATTTATATTGATTTGATTCAAATTTAAATCACCATTTATATTGATTTGATCACCTTCAATCTAATCAAATGAATCTACATAACCACATTGCTAAAAGATAGCAACAAATCTAATTGAGATTCAATCAGAAAATACGCTCCAAACAACATCCATCATAGCCTGCTGACAAAAGGCAGATGTTGCACACATGCTGGAACATTTAGTCTCGCATGTGTATTTTCTTCTCAAAAACAGCTTGAACATTCCATGTTGTTTTGCATAATACAGATAATACAAAAGGGACAACAATCTCCTCTTTTGGCAAATTTTAGCAAAATATTCTTTTCAAAAACATACAAGATGTGCAATACAAACTGAGCAATAAGCACACCACAAGCAACCATATAAACACAGAGCAAACATCAATTGCAGCAGAAGTAGCACAAACTCAAAAATCATGAAATATGGTTGCTACTTCAAATAATAAATCAAACATAATGCTCTACACAATCAGACACATAATCCATCAACATGCACATATTCAGTAGTCAGGACATACCACTACTACTACACAATCAGACACATAATCCATCAACATGCACATATTCACTAGTCAGGTCAATCAGGACATACCACTACTACTACACATTAAACATTAGAATATCAGAGTTCATACACACATAGATATCAACTCATACATACTCATAGTGTAAGGTCATATGTTAGACCAGATGCTCTAGCACGTAAGCATAAAAGCTCATCAAATGAGAGCATAAAGAAAAACAAACCAGAGCACGCAGTCTTGTCAGACATGATGTGTATGCACATCCTCCAAAAAATTTAAATATCTTGGTTATTCTTGTTGTGTTTGATTTAGATGTCATCCTCCAAAAATACACATGATCAATCATATCTTTATTAGAAAGATCGAGATCTTTGTAATCAGTATGACAGGTGTCTCATAGATCGTGGAACTTTTAGCTTGACATCTATCCACGTAATACAATTCTGAATCTGGAACAAATCAAATAAAATCTTTATTTGATAAACATCATAATTCCAACTTCTCGAGTAAAGGATTCAGAATAAATCTCTTACAAAATTTGAACCAAATTTTCCTTCAAAGAAGATCCAATTAAATCTAATTTTCAACTTATGGATGAACATACTTTTCCCACAAGTATTTTTCTCATCATAGTAGAAACAATACAGATTTTCTAACCAAATGCTGAAGAGAACATTTAGTGCAGTAAGAGCAGACTGCACGCCAAGATGTCACATAACATGTTAAGACATCTTACTGAACAAGTTACTTATAAAAATAAGTCAATCACACAAGCATCAACAACTCCAAAGTGAGTCAGAACAACAAAGACCAACTGCAAAAACCAACAAACCAGCTGCAAGTCCTGCAAACAGACAAGATGTTGTGCAAATTGTTCCATACATTCTTTAGGACATTCTTCATATATAAATAATAGAGTACATTGAAACCAAAACATGTTAGCTAATCACAATCATGAGTATGCGCTTAAGATCACAACATCACACAACTTCTTATGAATACCAGTTGGAAATAGTAGTTTTTCTTGCAAATAATCATATCACCATCTCCTCCAAGATTTCAATATGTGACACTAACTCGGCCTGACATTTCATTCAGTGTTAACAAGACATGTCAGTTCATGGCATGTCCCCTTAACTCTCACTGGTCGGTTGTGCGAAGAATTCTCAAGTATCTTAGTGGTACAACATAGTTTGGTCTATTGCTTTCTCCTTCCGTATTTGCTCCAAAGTTCTCACTTCGTGCCTATAGAGACTCTGATTGGGCCAGTGATCCTGATGATCGAAGGTCTACATCAAGTTCGTGTATTTTTTTTGGGCCTAATCTTATTTCTTGGGGTTCTAAGAAACAATCGCTTGTTGCTCGCTCAAGTACTGGAGCTGAATACCGAGCTCTTGTGCATACAACATCTAAGTTGCTTTGGATTGAATCCTTACTCTAAACTCAAGGTTCCGTTTCACACACCAACATTACTATGTGACAATATGAGTGCGGTTATGCTAGCTCACAATCCGATTCTTCAGGGCAAAATGCAGATTCAACATGTACCTGCAACGATGCAAGTTGTTGATGTGCTTACCAAACCTTTAGGCTCTGCAGCTTTTCATGAGTTACGCGGCAAACTGAAAATTGTTTCTCCAACTCAACATTCTTCAGTTTGAGGGTGGTGTTAGAGACGTGTTTGTAACTTTTGTAACTTCTGTTAGCTGGTTTGTAACTTCTGTTAGCTGATAGTTTGTTGCAGTTAATTGCCAAGCTGTTAGTTCTAACAGTTTCCGTTGTATCTCGTGTATATAAATCAGTCTTAACTTTCTCTTTTATTTCAACTATTGTAAAACTATCACATTCCTCTAGTGTGTAATCATATCAGGTTTTTCTGTTGTGCCACAAAGTGCAAGCATGAACTCAGTTCATAGCTTAATACTCATGGATATTAAGATAAAATTCCTCTTGGCTTATAAAAATATATATACAAAATTCCTGTAGCTTTTTGAAACAACATACTTCATTTGCCATGCAATTTATCACCATATACCATCACTCAAGAGAGAAAACCGTTGGGGCTTATGAGGCTGTAGTTAAATGAGAGAAATGCTTAGTTTCTTGAAAGTGATGGCTCTGATCAGATTCAGTTTGATAGTCTTTTTCTTCTTCATTTTCAGCATCCAAAAGGAAATTTGCATATGAAGCTAGGACATAGCTGCCAATTGTTAAACATATATACATTAGTTACACCTCATTATCAACATGAAATACAAAAAAACCATATATATATACCAATCATTTGGGTCCTTTTGAATAGCTTGATCAAAATATTGTTGAGCTTGAGGAGCATTCTTCTCTATTTGCCATATTAAATCTCCATAGAAGGACAAAATATGACCATCACCGGGATTTGCCATAATTGCCCTTTCTAAATACTCCTCTGCTTTAGTATAATCTCCACAAACCTTTTAGCAAATGGAATATAAGAACAACTAAAGTTCCATATGAGATCAATGTATATATTTATACATATAAGTAGCCAATGCATAGTACAAATACGGTATCGCTACGAAATACAACATTTTAATAAAAATTAAGACAAATATATCTATAATAAATTATTATCAAAACTTATTAATACAAAACTAAATTATTTAATTCAAAATAAAATATCACAATAAAAATGTAAATAATAAAACTTTTGTTAGGCTATCATATTAAATAAATTAAAATACATAAATATATTATATTAATATATGAGAAAATTAAAAATTTCTAACAAAATATTAAAAATAATATAAATATTTGAGTATATATATCCCTACAAATGCGTATCCGATATTGGTTGGTATGTCATTATTTTTGAAATATCCATGCTTCAGAGATAGTCATATAATTACCTCCTTCAAAAATTTAGCATAATTTCCGAGCAAAAGAGCATCACAAGGGTGTGTTTCAATCATGTTTTGGTAATAAGAATCAATCATATCTCTACCATGATTATTTTCCTCATTGAGATTCCAACTTCTTCCATTTCCACCATCTGATCCTCTTCCACCACCTTTACATCCACCATTATTCTTCATCCCACCACCCATCATTGAAGTTTGCACCATCTTACCCTCTTTCACTTCATTTCTTTCTAAGGAAATTGTTTTCTTAGGACTTGATGAGTTTTTAAGGTCTATCTTAGTCTTGTTTTGGCTTAGACTTAAAAATGATATTGTTCTAGGAAGCTTAAGAGTATGTTCTAGCTCAAGAGAGGGTTCTTTGAATTTATAGAGTAATAGTGAACTCAGAATTGGAGTAGAGAAGCTTCTAAGTAACATGTTTAAAGATAAAGCAAAATGAAAAACAAAATATCAAGGTGTGTAATACTATATGAAAATTGGCCAATGTAGATAGAAGGATGAGAGAAGGTGAGAAAGAAGTGGTACAAATTGAAACAAGCATTGGAAGATAGAGCTAAATACTTATAGTGAAAGACAAGTACTTTGATTAAGAAAAAAGGAAAAAGAAATATTAAGAATATTACAATGCATGAAATGGAGGGACCTGCGCCGCAGTTTTTTTTGTTGTGAGTTGAAAAATTGGACGGTCTCAAATTAGTGCAATCACCATCTTGACTTAGCCTTCAAGAAGTGAGGCCAAGAATATAGCATCACCTTGTTCAAGGATTAATGGGCATATTTTGTTGCTATATTACATTTGCCAATAATGTAGCAAACAACCATTGCTAGAGGTTGGAAAGTAGAAAATATGGAAAGCGACTTTCATATGATAACAATTATACATATAAATATCTTTATCATGCAATGTTCATGAACATTAAAATAAATAAAAAAAGAATTCTAGACATAAACATGGTAGCAAAATCTAAAATTGTTTGTGTTCGATAGGAAACGAAGTTGTGTCTTTTTAGAATGGGTTTGCATTTTCGATGTGGTGGGGAGGAGGTTGATCTATAAAATTAGTATCAAACGCTCAAGTCAATTAGAAAAATCAGAAGTGATATGTGAATAAAAATTGATTTGAATACCTAAATGACGTGTTTTATCCTTATATGCCAAGAGCGATTGAAACCGCTCGCGTATGATGCGGTGTATTGTGCGTATAGCCATTAGATTGAATCAGATGGTGATAAATGATGGGGGAGAAAATACGGGTAATGGTTGTGTTGCAGTCTTTCTTATAGTATGAATGTGATTAGTATGAGTAAAATTAAGGATAGTATGTGAAACAATAGGAGCAATAATATGTTCATAATGAAGAAAAAAATGAATTTGTATGTATTTGAAGAAGATGTTGTGAGAACAATAGTGATCATTGCAGTCCATTTTAAGCCATTAAAATTGTGAGAGTTGTGATCGATTCATGTCTTGAATTATTAATTTATGTTGCTTATCCATTATAGTATGGATGTTTCCTAATTGAAGTTCCAAAATCAAATTTGCTTCATGAAATTTCTCATCTATTTGATGACGAGTGTAGTTGATTGCAATTTCAATGTGATTATATGCATTTTAAATAGCTTTATCTAAGTTTTTGAAAGAGGGATCGATAGGGTTAAAAGACATTGATTTAAAGAATGAAATCACTAATGATAGGTAACACTAAAACTAAAATAGATCTAGGCTGCAAAACGAATAAATCATAAAACAAACCTTTAATCTATCATAAAAACAACTTCAACAACAATACACCTTTAAGTAGTTAAGGGTTTCTAGAAATAATGGGACAACGCTGATAAAAGACATAATGTTAGTAAGTATAATAGAGTTAATTACAAATGAGAATTTCTTACCCAACCTCTTGGGATTCTTACGCACTATGTGCGCTTTTAAAAATATCTTCTGTTTTCGGAGATGTATCTCCGGACGCACCTTTTTTTTTAGACAACATTGACTTTTTTCGGAGCTACATCTGCAGAATGTTTCTGTTTATATAACTCCGGAACAAATCAGAATATATTCGCGTCAGAGTTCCTTCTCTTCTCTCATTCTTCATTTTTCAACTTCTTCACTCTCAAACTCTCCCAACTCTCTCAATTCTCAAAAAAGCTTTTTTCACCAAACTTAATTTTTTTCAATCAAGTTCGACAAGGAGCATTCATCTCAACGATCAAGACACTCCAAATCATTCAAAGCTCAATATAATCGGAAAATTTTTGAATTTCCGAGGTATTTTCGAATATTTCCCGTAAACGAGTTAGAATATAGTTTTAGGAGTAGAAATTGTTAGATAGTTTTAGAAACATAGTTTAGAGACAATGTAGGTATTGTTTGTTGGCTGAAACGGACGACCAGGGCTTCAAAAAATCAATTTTCATGGGTAGGGGATGCCATTATCGTGGTTGTTGGATTTGCAGGAAGTTCCGGAGCTACATCTACGGAACAAATTAACGTTAGGGCAATTCCGTAGATGCAGCTCTGGAACAAATCAAACTTTCTAAATTATGACTTCTTCGATAGATACATATACAGAAGTTTTCCGTATGTTCACATCCCGAAGTAAAAAAAAATTATTTTTTTCTTTTTAATTTTTTAATTTATTTGTATCTAATTGTTTTTTCTTAGTTATACCTTGCAGACATTATGGCAGACAAAGAAGATAGATTGCGACTTGGACGGGTTTCACAACATGCATTTGTGAGACCCGAGCGGAGCCAAACCACCCTTACCGAGACCGATACAGTTGAGACACATCTTTCTTTATCACATGCCCAGGATATTTCTGCAACCTCGTATCCCACCCCATCATCCATTTCTTCATTCCGGAGGTGTAGGGATTCAGTTGAGGATTCATCACAGGCCTCGTCCTCTTGCAGGCCTCATCGGGATACTCCTGGTCCTCTTCCTGCCGATGATCTGGTGTCACCTCCAGAGGGTGATGACCCACCACCATAGGATGCTGGTGACGACAATGATGATCTTGAGAATTTTCCAGGGGGTCCCTCAGATATGTCCCTGCTGACAAGGTACGCTAACCATACTGCCAGACATGTCTAGGATGGAGAGGTAACATTACTCAGATTGTTTCATTTTTTTCATTGGAAGTTTATAATTTGTACCATTGTTTCTTATTAACATTGTTTCTTATTTATGAAAATTTTCAGAGTCGTCAGCCATAGAAGTTCTATAACCTCGGGCGAAAGATATTATCTTTTGAGCAGCCACAGGAGGCTTGGTTCCTGAATGTCCTTGTCGCCTTTGGTTTGAAGGATCTCTGTGAGATCGGTTATAGCGTGATCCACAACGAGATGTTGATGGACTTTGCGGTTAGAGCTCACAATCACACTGGACGACATCTCTTGTCTGCTACATATACCGATCAGGGGTACCCTCCTCCGTCACGGTAGGATGACAAAGGAGGACGCGGGAGAGATGTTGGTAGAGGAGCTTGGGGTTGCACGTCAGGCAGATGGTCATCCAGCTGAGATTGAGATACACAGGCAGCGTGTGCTGAGATGTTATTTTCTATTTTTAGTCGGCACTCAACTATTTGTGGACACTTCCTCCACATATACGAATGTCCCTTACCTGAGGTACTTTTTGGATTCCACACGGATCCATGAGTACAATTGGGGGACGACTACCATGGCTTACACGTATTCATGGCTGGGAGAGGATGTCTGTGGAAGACCATGATTGTGGCAGGGAGCGTGGCACTACTTGTGATAACAATATTATATCCTTCGACTTTTTTTCATTTCTTTTTATTCTATATTCCAAATAATGCTTGATCCTGATGTTTTTTATTTTTATTTCAGACTTGGATATTCCAGAACTTTCCCATAACCACCGAGTGGGGGAGTGTTCTTGATTAGACAGAGCAGATGTCGTGTGTCCGTGTCTTTCTCCCGCTCAGGGGAAACCAGATGGTCAACCCTTACAGAGTCTATTTCGATCGCCTGACTGCTGAGGACATCCGGTACGACGTCTATGCTGATCACCGTGTGACGCGCCCGTTTGATGACATCTCCATATTCTCAGGATGGTTGGCATGCAGTTCGACCATCACTGTTCCATATTTTCCCGAGCGCGTCATGCAGCATCGTTGATCTTTTTAATATGAACATGAACTTTTTAATATGCACATCGTTGATCTTTTAAGAAATGTTGTGATACATGAGAAATTTGCGGAAAAAAAGAACAAAATTCTGTCCCCCTAACTTATAATAATTCAATAATTATATATACATACAAATTAAATGCTTACTATTTTATTTTCTAAATCTTGATCCTTTGTTTGGTCTATTCCTTCCATCCCAAGCTGAGGCCCAAAAGAATAGAGACATCCAGAAAAGAACAGCAAAGAAGATCTGTACTCTATCTTGAAATTTTGATAAGGATTCACCAACATCTGCTCCACAAAAGAAAAAGGGTCTTGTCAAAACCAAAATTCGGAACATCCGCTACAACCACTATTGTTGATCGTGACTTGCGGGTCAATAGCATCGCACCAAACTCTACCACCACTACGTTGTTCCACTATAACGCACTATTGACAACATAGCGTTTCGGTATCCCCCAACACAACACAGATGCATGTGGTTATGCTCAATTCCTTCCATTTTCTCAAATGACAACAACAGAATACAAATGAAGTTGACAAACTAAACATATCAACATGATTCTAATCTACACCAGACAAGAGACACTGTTATCAAATTCATAAGAGAGCATTGAAAAACTAAACATATCAACATGATTCTAATCTACACCAGACAAGAGACACTGTTATCAAATAGTGAGCTTAGACTATTGGAATTGAAACGGATCATTATTATTCTGCAATATACTATTTATTAACCAGTGTTGTCAAATAGTCGCTATGGCGGCCCAATAGAAATATAGTGCTGGAGAATTTGAAGAAACCGCTATTTTCAGCAATACATAATTAACCACACTAACAAGAGATCATTTCAAAAAGAAAAACTTTGCAACGTAAAGTGACTGTCTTAGCAAGTTTGTGTTTTGGCATATACAGATGTGACGAGTTGGTTGTTCACTTTCAAAACAGAAAATTATTTTCTAGAATGAATGTGAGAATCCTTTAATATTTTCCAGAAAACTTATTTTCTTAGCCAGATTCTACAGTGGACAATTTGGATAATTGATATTGGATGAATGGCCTATGATGGGCTGACATTTGAAAGTCACTAAAAGTACCAACGACAACTGAGTTCTCCAATGAAAGTAGAAGCTCTCAGTAATCCATTTCTCCATTTCTTATAGGTGCAATAGGGGCCTAATCGGTGTTAGTTCAACAAAACAACAACAACCGAACCTTACATTACTAAGTGGAAACAGCTAGATGGATCAACTTTCGCCATAATGTTCTATTCAGGAACATACTTCTATCAAAATCGTTAATCTCAAGAACTTTCTTAATACTTTTTCTTATAATTATCTAAGTCTTCCTCTATCTCTAACTGTTTGACTTTTTCTCTTCATCTGATATACTCTCCTTACTACAGAGTCTACGAATCTTCTCTATGCTCAAACCACTACGTCTATTTTCCACCATCTATAGGTTGAGTTTTGAAGCACTCCGAGTCACATAAAATTTCCCTATTTTTTCACCCTTACTAAGCAAGTTACCCTCTCACCTTAGAATAACGAGGACCACACCATGAGTTTCTACTTTATGTGAATATTGTGAGTTTTAGCGGAAGTTTCTAGTGATTTTAATGTGTGGTCCAAAGTTGAACTTCCCTAATTCTTCTTATCCCTTTAAGTTTCAACCAAAAAAAAAACTCAAAACATTATACAAACTATTCTAATTCATGTTTCTAAACTACTTAAGGGAAAAACTACTTAATAGTACTAAGCTCATGCAAATAAAATAAAAAATAAAAAAAGATAAATTTAAAAGCGAAGGAAACCTAAAGTATGAAATTGAGGAATTTACTTTGAAGTTGCGTTGAATCGTTTCCCGGAGGTTGTTCAGAGTTGTGTGGCGGAGGAGGATCCGGCATGGCGGCGCGGCACCGAAGACGACGGAGCGAAGTGGAGGAAGAAGGGAGTGGATTAAACGGAGGATGTGAAGGGATTGAGAGGGAGAAAGAGGAAGTTGGAAAACAAGTGAGAGTAGAGAAAGAGGAGAAGAAGAATGGTGGTGGGAGGTTGAGAAGTTTCATTTCGAGGCATTTCAGATTGTAACCAAAATGAATGATTCAGATTCTGTTACGTTTATGAATGAATGAATTTCTTTTTTCATTTTTTTGTTTGTTTGTTTTTTCTTTTTTTGTGTTTTCTTTGGATTAAATGTTTGGGCTCAATCCATACGATAACTCCCAATTATACACTACTCTACTCTTCAAAAACACGAAGTTCTCATTTACCCCTAACTAAAATAGCTAAAAGTAAGTTAAGTTACATTCCACTTTTATATATATATATATATATATATATATATATATATATATATATATATATATATATATATATATATATATATATATATATATATATATATATATATATATATATATATATATATATATATATATATATATATATATATATATATATATAAAAGCTTTTGCCGTTTGCATTTGATTTTTTGTTCAAACAAGAATCATTTTCACTCTTTTAGACAATATTTTGTATGATAGACTTCATGGCAAAGATTCTTGTCTTCCCTCAAGGCAATTCAAATAAGTTATTCAATGTCTCACATGAGGGACTTGTAACATCTCTAGCCAGGTTACGTATAACCTTGCATGAGGGACTTCGATTTTCAATGCTATTTAAACTCTTGCATGAGGGATTTAAGGCTTCCTCGGGCAGGATCAAACATAAAAATCTTGCTTAAGAGGAATGACTGAAGTCTAGCTTAAGAGACTTATTCACAAGTCTTGTCTGAGAGATTGATAAAAGTTACGTTCGAGAGGTCCAACGCCTCGCCTGAGAGACTTGTAGTCTCTCTAGTCAGGTTGCGTATAACTTTGTCTGAGGGACTTATATTTCCCAATATATTTAAACTTTCTAAGAAACTTAGAGTTTGCTTTGGATGGACCAAACACATAAATCTCGCCAAAGAGACTTGATTGAAGTCTAGCCTAAGAGACTCAGTCACAAGTATTATCTCATGGCTTGGTAGAAGTCACGTCCGAGAGATTCAACACCTTGCTTGAAAAACTTATAGTCAGGGTCGGCCCAACACATTTCAAACCTGAGATGAAATTTAATATTAAATATTTTAATATAATACAAATATTTTTAAAAATTAATATATTTTAAATTTTTTAAGATGTAAAATCATTAATTTTTTATAATCAATGATATTTTTAATTAATATTAAAACTAATTCATCTAAACACTCATCCCAATATTTACAAAAATCATAATTAAAAAACATTGTCAAAATTCTAAGAAAAAAAATAGTAATATGTCTCATCTATTAACGAACTCTAAAATTTGTTATTCATAATGTGATTTTTGAATTAACAAATCAAACATATACATTGTAAAGAGTTGTTATTATTATATATTATAAATTGGTGTCATTATTTAATTAAACACATATAAATATGAAATAAAAATTGGAGGCGCTAGGCGGTAGCCTTAGTGGTCTACCCCTAGGACAGACCCACCCTGCTTATAGTATCTCCATTCAGGCTACGGAAAACTTTTCTTGAGGAACATATATTCCCTAGGCTATTTAAACTCTAGCCTGAAGGACTTATAATTTACCCTAGCGGGACCAAACAATATAATTTTTCCTAAAACAAATTTGGAGCGTAACGAGCTTAGAACTTCGCACACGTCATCGAGTAACTTAGGGCCTTGGGATACTCCCTCGTACCACAATTAAAAACATTTCATCCTTTATTAAGGGTCTCGTGCTTGAGGGACTTTTTAGTGTTATATTTGTAAAAGACTGGTTAGGGCGATGACCATAAGTTGTCCCAAGGAAACGTGACAACCATATCTTGCCCCCATTGAGGTATCACCTCTCCCCAATGCTTTCCTCTTGACAAGTCATGGGATATATGGAATAAGACATTTCTGAGACAGAAAGAAGTCAGGGTCAGTAGCTGACCCACGCCCCCCTTGGAAATAGGAATTCAACGGTACACGATTGATTGAGTGGACAGTGACTTTTTCCAAGGAACCCCTAGGCTCAAAGCCTCTATAAACACCTCCCCAACAGGAGGTAAGAGGGATCATAACTTACACACACATACACATACTTAACATCTAAAGCAATGGAATATAAATCCTAATTCATATGCTTATACTTAAGCATCAACTAAATACACAGTCTCTCACCTGACGTGAGGTTACTCTCTAAACTACCGTAAACACCACCAGGTATGGCTTCTCGCTGACATGGGCAAGCCCTAACCACCATACAACGTAGTATACCTAATAAGGCTTATGAGTGTCTTTTTCCTTGTCGGGGTAACATGCACACCTGTATTTATTTACCATTACAAAGTTATACTATACCGAAAAATAATATTGTCAATATCATTAATGTGTATGTGTTGTAATTGATTCCCGGTGAATTAAATAAGTTTTTACACTCCATATTCAATGAATTCAAATATAGATGGACCTAATGATATGAACACACCTGAACTTTTAAACACGATTATTGTTGTTGGCCTTCTAAATCCCAAATAATAAAAGTCTTTTCATATTTCATTGGAACAAATATTAGTAATAAGAGGTCCATACTTAGGTTATCATTAACACTTAATAAAAGTCGATGATAGTCTTTGAAGCATGTTGGAGTTTATCATTTAAAATCTTTTAACATGGACAAATATATGTTGTCACTTCAATAGTTACATCAACAAGGGTTTGAAATTGTTGATAGTTAGCGATAAAAGTCAAGATACAAACATTAATATAAGTGTATGTTTGGTAATTCATCTAACCATTAAATATCAAATTTCAATGTAATTTTTAACATGAAAACAATAAGCTACAAAGTGTAGATTATCATCAAATGCACGTCCATATGATTGCAAACGCAAAAACAAATAGGACAAAAGAAATATTTCAAAATTACAAATATTTGTTAGTGGTCTATTACAATTAACTAATTTCAGCAAATGTTTGCTTCCAATTATATATATATATATATATATATATATATATATATATATATATATAACAAATTATGTAGTCATGACATATTTTTGAGAGGATATGGAATAATAATTTGCATTCATTAGACATAATTAGTTTTCTATTATGCGTTATATAATTCTTGTAAATTATATAGATTCATGATCAATGGAGATGATCGAAATATTTTTCTATATGGTACCAACTAGATTTTTCATCTCTCCCTCCTAGCCGCAATCTTGTTTTATCTCCTTCACCGGTATCATCCATGTCTAACCCAAAATAACCACAAATCTTTACTCCCACAGAGTCAACAACACAACCATCAAAATTTCACTCTACTTTATCACCAACGCGAAATCCATCATTCTGGTCACATTGAATAACAATTCAACCTTTATCTCTCTCTTGGTATGCCATGTTCTAAGTTTAAGCTCGTGTCCATAACATAATTGATCATATTATTTCTCCAACTTATATAAAATCTCAACAAATAGTCAAAGAAACAAAAAAATGATCTCGATCTTTGGAACTGGCTCAATTTGTTCATTATACAATGGATGTACGACACTGTCACCTATGATATTCTCGATTTCATCCCTGTTATCGATGACATGCTTAAATGCGTCAGAAGAAAATTGCTGCTATGTTTCAAGACAACAACCATTCGAGAGTAGTCCAACTCAAACATCAATTTTCCTACCTGAATTTGGAAGATTTGTTGTCTATCAAAGCTTATTGCAATTGCCTCATCCTTGTGAGCGATTGTGTTCAGTATCAAAGATCATTACACATAAACAGAATTGGCGTGTTTATTTGATTTTTGCATTCTTATTAAAATCGCGCATTCTCATTTTATTTGTTTTGCTTTTCTTTTTATTTAAGTTTTATTTTAAATAATGGAAACAATTAAAATTATATATATATATATATATATATATATATATATATATATATATATATATATATATATATATATATATATATATATATATATATATATATAACTTAAATAAAAATAGTTATGTAACGAACATGTGTATCTCTTTCATCATTTAATTAAACATGACATAAATGATGAAAGAGACTCACATATCTCAACTATTTAGTTTTAATTCTAAGGGTAAATAAGTATTCCTACCATTCTCATACAAAAGTAGTATTTTCAAAAAAGTATATCAACCGTCCATTGAATGGTCGGCACCGTACAACGTTGATTTTTTATATTTACTTTAGAAATTAAGATTAATAATGAATATTAATAAGTAATATTAATAATGAATATATGTTAATTAGTTTTGAAATGTTAATTAATATATTTAAAAAGAAATATAAAAATTAATAATTAATATATATTAGTTAGTTTTGATTTTTTTTTTAATTTTAATTTATCTTGTGTACGTAATTATTTTAATCATATAATTTTTTATATTTTAATTAGTAATGAATATATGTTACTTAGATTTTATTTAAAAAAACACAAATATGTCACCGTAATGGACAGATGCTTTGATTATTTTATTGATTAAGTACAAATTTGTCAGTGTAATGGGCATATTCTTTGATTATTTTATTAATTAAGCACGCCTTCGTCACTACAATCAGTAAAACCTTTGATTATTATATTATTTAAGCACAACTATGTCACTACAATGGACAGATCCTTCCCTATAAAAGGCATTAAATATTGACACATCAGGTGAGAGTTAAGTTTCTGATGATCTTGGTTAAAGATAGTTGTTGAAAAACTATGTGGGGGGTTTATAATGCCTATCTCCCACAAGTCACTTATTTTTCTATAGGACGCCAATAAATGAAACTTGCATGTATCATTTTTGCAACATAACTTCATACGACGTTGATAGAAATTTTTTTCTCGCCTTATGCGAAAGATGAAGACCAAAAATCCACACATTTCATCTTTCAACCGATGAATGCACAGTCATTATGAAGGATGTACACATGTTGTTAGGTGTGCGTATGAATAGGTTAGTAGTTGTTGGTCGAGCAAATGTGGCATATGAGACGGTTCTAGAACTATTAAAGGTGCCTTTTG